TTCAACTCCAGTTAACATATTTTCTTTGTGGGCTTTCAAAATGCACACCAGAGCATGAAAACAAAATAGGACCGAAATTTTCTTTTGGGCGCACGGTGGTAATCCCAACTTTATAAGAGAGGTCTTTGGGACCACAATTCTGGCCCTCCCAACAAGGCCAGCCACACAGAAATAGTTTGTGGCCAGAAAGGTTCTGCAGTAACAAATATACCCAACTAAAAAGACTAGCTTTTGTTCCTGAATTCAATTCCACATCCATGAAGACAGCAAAACCCAACCCTCGGCAGCTATTTGCTGTTTCTCCATTTCAAGCACTTTTGTACATTTCATAATTGAAATGTGCAGACTTTCAGTCTTGGATATAATATAGAACCTAAGGTGATTATACTGTGAAAGCAGCAAATATGTTTCAGACCTCAGGTTTAAAAGAAAGCTCCGATAGTTGTATCTGTGGACAGCAGTTAAATAAATATCATTTATTTGACTGGGATGGAGCATTGAATTTGCTCATTATAACGCTTAATTATTATTGAACTGCAAATCCGATTATTTATTTCTAAACAATGATTGAAAGTTGAATTCCTGTGTGCGTTTATTGTTTTGAGATATTTTGGATATTCTGGATTGTGCTTTACCTCTGCACTGTTAATCGTGATGAATTGTTTCACCTATAGCAGTGAACAGAGAAGGCCCATTTGGCCCAATGCCTAAGTATGAGCTCTTTGCTGAAGCGATGAAAAGTAATTCCATTACCTTGCTCACTTTACATATCCTTGTATCTAGTTCTGTTTGATTTGGCAAGAAATTCTGAGGTGATGTCCACAAGCAAATGTAATGTGCCAAATGGCACGTAGCCTTGGTTCTTGGCCCTGAGGCACAGTCCACACTGAAAATAGCCCAGAATTTCAACTGATCAGTCTCTCTGCTTTATTTTATTGTTCTATTGTTGCGTCGTCTGATCTTCTATTGCCAAATTTGCACTCTCAAAAAATGCTGGAGTACTTATTAAAATACTTGACAACCGGGAAGTAGTCCAGTAAATGCACAAAGTAATGCTCCAGGATCCAAAATGAAGACAATGCAATAATCACCAGCTAGTTTAGCGTGCTGGGTCAAATGTATTTGTTTAGCCAAATTTAAATGATCAATCTGAACCAATTAAAGGGAGCTGGAAATGAAGAATCAGGCATTTGAGATTAAGTCTTGCACCCCTTTTCAGTGACAAATGGGATAGAACACAGAACATTACAGCGCAGTACAGGCCCTTTGGCCCTCGATTTGCGCCAACCTGTGAAACCAATCTGAAGCCCATCTAACCTAAACTATTCCATTATCATCCATATGTTTATCCAATGACCATTTAAATGCCCTTAAAGTTGGTGAGTCTACTACTTTTGCAGGCAGGACATTCCACGCCCTCATTACTCTCTGAGTAAAGAACCTACCTCTGACATCTGTCCTATATCTATCACCCCTCAATTTAAAGCTATGTCCCTTCGTGCTAGCCATCACCATCCGAGGAAAAAGGCTCCCACTGTCCACCCTATCTAATCCTCTGATCATCTTGTATGTCTGTATTAAGTCACCTCTTAACCTTCTTCTCTCTAACGAAAACAGCCTCAAGTCCCTCAGCCTTTCCTCATAAGACCTTCCCTCCATACCAGGCAACATCCTGGTAAATCTCCTCCGCACCCTTTCCAATGCTTCCACATCCTTCCTATAATGCGGTGACCAGAACTGTACGCAACACTCCAAGTGCGGCCGCACCAGAGTTTTGTACAGCTGCAACATGACCTCATGGCTCCGAAACTCAATCCCTCTACCAATAAAACCTAACATACTGTACGCCTTCTTAACAACGCTATCAACCTGGGTGGCAACTTTCAGTGATCTATGCACATGGACACCGAGATCTTTCTGCTCATCCACACTACCAAGAATCTTACCATTAGCCCAGTACTCTGTATTCCTGTTACTCCTTCCAAAGTGATTCACCTCACACTTTTCCACATTAAACTCCATTTGCCACCTCTCAGCCCAGCTCTGCAGCTTATCTATGTCCCTCTGTAACCTACAACATCCTTCCGCACTATCCACAACTCCACCGACTTTGGTGTCATCCGCAAATTTACTAACCCATCCTTCTACGCCCTCATCCAGGTCATTTATAAAAATGACAAACAGCAGTGGCCCCAAAACAGATCCTTGAGGTACACCACTAGTAACTGACCTCCAGGATGAACATTTCCCATCAACCACCACCCTCTGTCTTCTTACAGCTAGCCAATTTCTGATCCAAACCGCTCAATCACCCTCAATCCCATGCCTCCGTATTTTCTGCAATAGCCTACAGTGGGGAACCTTATCAAACGCTTTACTGAAATCCAAATACACCACATCAACCGCTTTACCCTCATCCACCTGTTTGGTCACCTTCTCAAAGAACTCAATAAGGTTTGTGAGGCACGACCTACCCTTCACAAAACCGTGTTGACTATCCCTAATCAAATTATTCCTTTCTAGATGATTATAAATCCTATCTCTTATAATCCTTTCCAACACTTTACCCACAACCGAATGAAGGCTCACTGGTCTATAATTACCAGGGGTGTCTCTACTCCCCTTCTTGAACAAGGGGACAACATTTGCTAGTCTCCAGTCTTCTGGCACTATTCCTGTACACAATGACGACCTAAAGATCAAAGCCAAAGGCTCTGCAATCTCCTCTCCAGCTTCCCAGAGAATCCTAGGATAAATCCCATCCGGCCCAGGGGACTTATCTATTTTCACACCTTCCAGAATTGCTAACACCTCCTCCTTATGAACCTCAATCCCATCTAGTCTAATAGCCTGTATCTCAGTATTCTCCTCGACAACATTGTCTTTTTCCTGTGTGAATACTGACGAAAAATATTCATTTAGCGCCTCTCCTATCTCTTCGGACTCCACGCACGACTTCCCACTACTGTCCTTGACTGGCCCTAATCTTACTCTAGTCATTCTTTTATTCCTGACATACCTATAGAAAGCTTTAGGGTTTTCCTTGATCCTACCTGCTGAAGACTTCTCATGTCCCCTCCTGGCTCTTCTTAGCTCTCTCTTTAGGTCCTTCCTGGCTAACTTGTAACTCTCAAGCGCCCTCACTGAGCCTTCACGCCTCATCTCTACATAAGCCTCCTTCTTCCTCTTGACAAGAGATTCAACTTCTTTAGTAAACTACGGTTCCCTCGCTCGACCACTTCCTCCCTGCCTGACAGGTACATACTTCTCAAGGACACGCAGTAGCTGTTCCTTGAACAAGCTCCACATTTCAATTGTGCCTAGCCCCTGCAGTTTCCTTTTCCATCCTATGCATCCTAAATCTTGCCTAATCGCCTCATAATTGCCTTTCCCCCAGCTATAACTCTTGCCCTGCGTTATATACCTATCCCTTTCCATCGCTAAAGTCAACGTAACTGAATTGTGGTCACTATCACCAAAGTGCTCACCGACCTCCAAATCTAACACCTGGCCTGGTTCATTACCCAGTACCAAATCCAATGTGGCCTCGCCTCTTGTTGGCCTGTCTACATACTGTGTCAGGAAACCCTCCTGCACATATTGGACAAAAACTGACCCATCTGAAGTACTCCAACTATAGCGTTTCCAGTCAATATTTGGAAAGTTAAAGTCCCCCATAACAACTACCCTGTTACTTTCGCTCCTATCCAGAATCATCTTTGCAATCTTTTCCTCTACGTCTCTGGAACTTTTCGGAGGCCTATAGACAACTCCCAACAGGGTGACCTCTCCTTTCCTGTTTCTAACCTCAGCCCGTACTACCTCAGTAGGCGAGTCCTCATCAAATGTCCTTTCTGCCACCGTAATACTGTCCTTGACTAACAATGCCACACCTCCCCCTCTTTTACCGCCTTCCCTGATCTTACTGAAACATCTAAACCCCGGAACCTGCAACAACCATTCCTGTCCCTGCTCTATCCATGTCTCCAAAATGGCCACAACATTGAAGTCCCAGGTACCAACCCATGCTGCAAGTTCACCCACCTTATTCCGGATGCTCCTGGTGTTGAAGTAGACACACTTCAAACCACCTTCCTGCCTGCCGGTACACTCCTGCGACCTTGAAACCTTATTCATGACCTCACTACTCTCAACCTCCTGTACATTGGAGCTACAATTCAGGTTCCCATCCCCCTCAGCCTCCCGAATGATCCGAAGTTCATCCAGCTCCAGCTCCAGTTCCCTAACGCGGTTTCCGAGGAGCTGGAGTTGGGTGCACTTCCCGCAGATGAAGTCAGTGGGGACACTAGTGGTGACCCTTACCTCCCACATTCTACAGGAGGAGCATACAACTGCCCTAACATCCATTCCCACTGTTCTGAATTCCCAAACAAACTATTAAAAAAAAAACTAGTAGCCTTACCAAATCAGTGCTCAGAACCTTTTTTTTTTGGTTAGAGGAGGAGGATGGGTGGGAGACACTACCTAGGTAGTGTTTCGGGTAAGGCAACCGCCCAAATATATTACCTTACTTACTCACTCCAAAAATGGAGTCACGCGAGGTAAGACTTTTATGATCGAAAAGCTTACCTTCCCAGGGTACCCTCGCGCTTCCTCCCGGACTCCCGCCGCTGAAACAACTGAAAGGCCACAGTCACGTGAGGTAAGACTTTTATAATCGAAAAGCTTACCTTCCCAGGCTGCCCTCGCGCTTCCTCCCGGACTCCCGCCGCTGAAACAATTGGTGTTACAAAACATTCATCTTGAAAGTGAAAATATTCTGCATGTTATTTTTTTCAAAACTTAACTGCAAAGTGAGATCTAATTACCTTTGCATTTCTTAAAACAAAACCTCTGTTTCTCTTTTAAACTTCACTTGCTGCATTAACCTGCAATTAAAAGTGAAAGCTGAAGTGAAAAACACTTTGTGATGAAATGTAGCATTTTATCATTTTGAGTCTGAGTGCATGATTTTATGAACCCGCTTGATGTTTTCGCAGGTACACTCCTTCATCTCAACTGCAAAATAATGAGGAGACAAAAGAGTGGCTGCGTTCACACTCTGCAGTCGGACTACAGGAGAATATCAACAATTCACCATTTTCACCAGGATCTAGTATCACATCGCCCTCCGCAACTAGGTTTAACTTTTCCCAACTAGGTGAGGTTCCAATCCAGAAGTTGGTTTGTCTATAGCATCTAAAGTCATGCTCTCAAATATTGGCAAAGCTATATCCGTGAATGTGCTAAATTACTGACATCCCACATTCTGGTGACGTTAGTACCTGAAGGGTTCATGGTACTGTATGGAATTAACTTGGAAAGAATTGTTCATTCTACCCAATTATCTCCCTTAGCTATCTTTCATTGACTGCAGCTTAAATAGGTCACACAGTTTGGAGCAAAGTGATAGCTGTTCCATCACATCATTTCCCCTGGTGTGCTGGTGACTAACTGTATAATATGTCTCAGTCATTATCGCCCTGTAATCTTCAAAGGATTCAGAAGAATGAGAGAGCAATATCATAGAATTGGCGCAGAAAGAGGCCATTCAGCCCATTGTGCCTGCACCAGCTTGTTAAATGAGCACCATTACCAAGTGCCAATCTTCTGCTTTGTCTCCATACCCTTGAAGACTATTTCTAACCAAATAACCATCCAGTGTCCCTATTGAATGCCTCAACTGAACCTGCCTCCACCAAATTTCCAGGCGGAGAATTTCAGACCCTAACTACTGCATGTGTGAAAGAAGATTTTTGCTTCTTTTGCTCATTAATTTAAATCTATATCCTCCCGTTGTTTTTTATCCTTTACGGTCAGGAAAAGTTTCACCCTTTTCACTCTGCCCAGCCCACTCATGATTTTAAAAAACCTCTCTCTGATCTCCCGTCAGACTTTGTCACTCTAAGGAGAACAGTCCCAACTTCTTCCATTTATCCTCATAGATGAAGTTTCTCATTCCTGGAACCATTCCTGAAAATTGCTCCTCCACTCTATCTCCAATGTGTTCACATCTTTTATATAATGTGGCACCCACAACAGTAGTACTTCTGAGGTCTAGCAAGTACCTTATACAAGTGCGAGGCCCTGGTACTCTATGCTGAAGGAAGATAACCCATTTTACCTATTATTGCATCTAGATAACACAGTATGCACACAAAGGCGTATCTACAGTGGGAAAACTTTCAATATTATTGCTTTCTGCAGCTGGCAGTCCAGTTTTTGAGAAGTGACGTAAAGCTCAGCGATAAATACAGGTGTTAGATTGGGAAGAATTCTTTGTTGGAATACAGTCTTGTATTCTGGGTTTTGCTGAATTTCACAAATAAGCTTTCTTTTCAACAGCGAGTCCAACTACAGCCACCCAGATGAGCCTGTCAAATCCCAGCATGCTACGCTGTCACAGTGTGTCCAACCAGGACGGGTCATATGATCCATACAGCGATTCCAGGTTCCGGAACAGTTCCATGTCCCTGGATGAGAAGCACAGGACTATGAGTCGCTCCGGATCATTCCGCGATGGATTTGAGGAAGGTTAGCAGCAGCAGCATTGCATTCTACACGTGATTCTAAATGAAGGGAGGCTTAAAATTAACCTGATAGATACAACCTATACATGAGGAACAAGAGTAAGCCACTTGGATCTTTGAACCTGTTCCACCATTCAGTAAGATCAAGGCTGATCTGATTTTAACCTCAACTTCACATTCCAGCCTATCCCTTGATAATTTTTCCTCCCTTCAGTCAAGAATCTATTATCACCTGCCCAAAAAATATTTAAAAGTTGCGCATTCGCTGCCTTTTGAGGAAGGGAATTCTAAAGACACTCAAACTTCTAAGAGATGTGTTTTCCTCATCTCTGTTTTAAATGGGTGATCCCTAATGTTGAAACTCTTGACTCCTAGTTTGAGATTCCTCCACAAGAGGAACCATCCTTTCCAGATCCACCTGATCAAGTGCCTGTCAGCATCTTGTATGTTTCAATTAAGTCACCTCTGACTCTTCTAAACTCCAGAGGGCACAGGCCTAACATGTCTAGCCTTCCCTCAAAAGGCAAACCACACACTCTAGGTATGAGTCTAATAAACCTTCTCTGAACTACTTTCAATACTTTAACATCCTTCCATAAATACGGTGACCTGTACTGGACATAGTACTCCAGATGCGGTTTCACCAATGTCCTACATAGCTGAAGCATAACTTCCCTATAATTACATTCTATTCCCGTTGCAATAAAAGAAAGCATTCTGTTAGCTTTCCTTATGACTCAGTGTCGTCCAAATTTTGTTTCATGCTGTGTCAAATTATGTAATTGGAGAGGCCTATCTAATGAAAATCCAGAAGAAAGGTACATTCAATATAAAGCGCTCATACATCTTGAGGGGAGATGGGAGTATGGAATTTGGATTTGGAAACACAAACAAATCAGCCATGATCTTATTGAATGGAGGAACAGGGAGATTGAAAGAAGGGCTGAATGGCCTACTCCTGCTCTTAACTGATATGTTCGGATGTTCATTCTTCAATTGAATGGAAATACTTCATTTTGAATATTGATCTCCAGCCATCGGGAAACCTGGCAATTCAATAGATGTTACTATTTGGACAAATTCTGAAGGTCTTGCAAGAAAGTCCAGTGGGTGACAGAATTTACTTTTTAGTACAGTGGCATTATTCTGATATACAATTCCAGCATATACACTTTAACTTTTAAAACTAACATATCAAAAATATAGGTCTCAAAAATGAGAGTTCACATGACAATTTTTGGAGCATACGAGGACAATGGAAAGGTATATAAAGGATTTATTTCAAGTAAAAGTGAGTGAATGCAGATGCTGGAAATCTGAAATAAAAATAGACAGTGTTGGGGAAGCCCAGCAGGTCTGGCAGCTTCTGTGGAAAGAGAAACGGAGTGTGAAACAGCCTGAACAGAAACTCAACCCAATTCTGAAGGAGAGTAGTCATAAACTCAAAATATCAAATGTTAAGTCTGCTTTCTCTCTCTCCACAGATGCTGCCAGACCTGTTGAGTTCTCCAGCACTTTCTGTTTTTGTGTTGAAAGGTTTCTTCCTCCAAAGCTATAAATTCTCTCGATTGGCTATCATGTCATGTGTATCTATGGTAACAACTTGCCCTTTTTCTTTACAAACGCTGCACATAGTCATATAGAGATGCTTTACTTCTTTTTTCCCATTCTCTCAATCTCTGACCTTATAGGGGAGGCAATGGCCTAATGGTATTATCGCTAGACTATTAATCTAGAAACCTAGGTATTGTTCTGGGGATCTCGGTTTGAATCCCATCGTGGCAGATGGTGGAATCAAAATTCAGTTTTGAAAATCTGGAATTAAGAGTCTGATGATGACCATGAAGCCATTGCCAATTCTAGTTGTGATGAAGATCAACTGATTCTAATCGGGGAAAGTCTCAGACTCATATGAAAGAGCCAGATAAAAATTCTCATGGTGCAGGGGTAGTATCCCTTCCAAGGTGCCTCAAGGTCTTGGTTCGGGTCACACATGCTACACAGGTGTGTCCAAACATATCTGAACAGGTTGATGCAAAAAATGTGTAGATAACATTCAGTTTACACATAGGGGTGGGGATCTAGTTTCTGGAAGAGAGAAGTAGTCTGCACTCAAGCTGTACTTGTTACAAACCAGTCCCTGCTTCTACCTTGATCACATGAATGTTTTTGAGATTAACATGTTGGGCACTACCCTGACGAACTCTTGCAGTGATGTCCTGGATCTGAGATGGTTGGCCTCCATCCATCACAACCATTGAACTGACTCTAAGCAATGGAGACTTTCCACCCCATCCAACCCCTATTCCCATTCACTTCCTGTGTGTCAGAGCTCTTTGATCCAAAACTCACCAGCTAAATGGGGGCTGTTTATCACCAGCCAAGGCAAGCCCCCACGGCCCCAGTGACCTCCCTGTAAGTCTCCACCCCATGAATTTTAATTTCTTTTTAACATGCCTCTTGGAGGCTCCAGGTTTCCTCTCCCTGTGCCAGCATCAAGAGCCTCTGCTCACCTTCCGAAATTGGAAGACCCTACAGTTGGCTGTTTAGGAGCTCACTTGTAAATTCACCCAGTAATTCCTACTGCTGGCAACAGTGGGCTCAGAACCCGTTCTTTACCCTGACATTGGGTTCGTAGTGCCCTTCGTAATATTCTGTGGAATCCAACACTGTGCACAGGGCTCAGGGCTCACTGAAGCTCCATACAATTGTAAGAAATCTTCCTTGTTCTTATACTTCAATCCCCTTGCAACAAACCTTAAAAAGCCACTTGCTTGCCTAGTTGTTCACTCAACTTGAAACGTTAACTCTGCTTTCTCTCTCCATAGATTCTGCCAGACTTGCTGAGTTTCTTAAGCAATTTCTGATTTCTAGCATCAGTGATTCTTTTTTAATTTGCTTTTCTGATTACTGCTTGAATCTGTATGTTTATTTTGAATTCCTGGTTTAAGTGTACCCAAGTCAGTCTGAACATGAACTTGTAAAGGATTCATGTCTTTTTTTAAAAAAAATCAGACTTTCTTAGATTGCTACCTGAGTGAATAACTTTGCACTACCCTATATTTTACTCCATCTGCCACCTTGTTACCCATTTACTTAACCTCTCTATAGCTTTTGGCAGCCTCTATGTGTCCTCTTGACAACTCATGTCCCAAACACTTTTGCATAAAATCAGCATATGTTGTAACATTACTCCTGCTCTCTTCACCTAAGTCATCAATGTGGCTGACAAATAGCTATGGTCTCAGCTCTGATCCCTGTTACAATTTATGAGCCACAACCTATTTATGCTTAATTCTGCTTGCTGTCTGTTAACCACTCTGGATATTTCCCATCCATTAAAAGCTGGAGGTGAAAAACTGTGTTGACCTTGTCTGATCCTACAATAACTTGCTAAGTGCATGTTAAGATTTCCGTTAATAGTAGATGCCCACAGTTTTCTGCTGACTGATATCAGGCTAACTTGTCTATAGATCTTTGATTTCTCTCTCCTTTACTTCTTGAACAGTAGAGTTGCACTTGTCAACTTCCAGTCTGCTGGGATCACACTATAACTTTGACCAAGCCACAGCCAATGCATGCAGTCTCACTTAAGCTACGTCTTTTAGAATCCTTGGATGCAGGCCACCAAGTCCTGAGGATTTGTCAAATTTTAGGCCATTTGTTTTTTTACATGGAGACTGAGATTTGTTTGCGTACAAGTCTGACACATTGTTGACTGTAAACTGTCCCTTGTGTTTCCCCTGTTCTGGTGGTGAGGTATTGCACAATAGGGGAACATTGCTACCAGAGAGATGAGAATCCGACCTGGACGTTACATTCTCTGTAAACCTTAGAGAGAGCTACAGGCAAGTATATGATGCTCTGGAGTAAGCCTAAGCTGAGCTTGCTTGCAAAAATGCCACCATAATTTTATGGACTTTTGCTCCCCATGACATACACCAGCTTGTTTTCTTTAGCAGCCATACACCTCTGTCAACAGCAATTTTGCTGCCTCTCTGTAGGTATCAAATTGATACGGGGTTGGGGGGGGCATTATGGATTGTGGGTTTATCTCAGTTGGCTGGATGAATGGTTTGCCAAGCAGAGTGATGCCAGCAGTGTGTGTTCAGTTTCACACTAGCTGAGGTTACCATGAACGGCTCTGCTTTCGAACAGCTTCCCTTTTCTGAGCAATGGTGTCCCTTAGGTTAACTACCACCAGTTGTCTCTCCTGACTGATTTGATCTGTATTATTATCATAACGTCTACTGAGATAGAGTGAAACTATTGTTTTGCGTGCTATCCAGACAAATCATACCTGACACTAGTACGTCAGGGTAATAGAACAGAGTACAGAATATAGTGTTACAGCTATAGAGAAGGTACAGAGAAAGATCAACTCTAATAATTGAGAGGTCCATTCATAAGTCTGTTAACAGGGGGGAAGAAGCTGTTCTTGAATCTGTTGGTACATGTTCTCAAACTTTTGTACCTTCTGCCTGATGGAAGAGAGTGTAACCAGGAAGGGAGGGGTCTTTGATTATCTTGGGCTGCTCTCCTGAGGCGGTGGGAAGTATAGAGGGAGTTAGTGGAAGGAAGGCTGGTTTTGGTGATGGACTGGGCTGTGTTCACAACTCTCTGTAATTTCTTGCAGTCTTGGGCAGAGCAGTTGCCATACCAAGCTGTGATGTGAGAGAGCCAACCCTGTGGTCTGGTAAAACTATGGCAACTTTACCTTCCTTTTAGAGTAGGCAAGTCAGATCTTAGTAGCAGTCATTTGTTTTTTCTGTTGTAATTGGCCTTCCCAATTTTCTTTCGAAGTTTCTGCTCAGGTTTCTGAGATGACTAAGGTGCTGAAACTAGCCAAGGGAGGTTTAGCGAATATCTTGATGAGAGAAGTCCACAAAAGAAAGAAAACCTCAGTTCTGTCTGTCAGTTGTTGATTTTGGAGGCCAACCCTGTGTACTGCAGAGATTGTGTGTGACAAGCAGTTAACATAGTCACAAACAAAGGAGATCTTCTGGGTACCTCAAGTCAATGCACACATTAGCATTTAAACCCCAAATAAGCAGTCAAATAGATTCCCCCTAATCATTGACTGTCATATAAAAAAATTAATTCTGGGATGTTTTTGTTTAAAATTATAATTTAAATGTTGTAGAATGGGCTGGTTTTTATTGCCCATCCCTAGTTGCCCTTGAGAAGGTGGCGGTGAGCTGCCTTCTTGAATTTCTGAGCCCATGTGCTGTGTAGTTAGACCCACAATGTTAAACTAAAGCAAAGAACTGTGGATGCTGGAAATTGAAGCGAAAGCAGAAATTGCTGGAGAATCTCAGCAGGCCTGGCAACATCTGTACTGAACTGAAGAAGGGTCACTGGACTCAAAACGTTAACTCTGGTTTCTCACCACAGATACAGCTAGACTTGCTGGGTTTCTCCAGTGACTTTGTTTTTTGTCTCAGTCTTACAATGCTGTTGGGTTTGCCAGTTGGTCTGTCTAGTTTCATTCTGTTTTTGTGATTTTCTCATGATTGATACAATTGAGTGGTTTGCTCAGCCATTTCAGTTAAGAGTCCATTCGTATACAGGGTAGATTATCTAAGGATGGAAGTTCTTCTTCCATAAAGGGCAACAGGTCAGCTTAACTAGACATTAGCAAACCAGATGATTTTTAATGACAATCATTTGACTTTTAAAACAGATATTTATTGAATTCAAATTCCATCTACCATACCTAAGACCCAATTCATAGCCTGGCAACAATACAACTAGGCTATCACTTCCTACAGAGAAAACAGCATTGAAGTAAACTATGAATTGGAGAACAAACTGAGAAATTTCCCAGAGTGTTAGTTCCACAAAGGAACTCAACTCAACTCAACACAGACCAGGAACGAAACCCTGAGAGCTTCCTTGTCACTGTTTCAGAGATTCTCCAATTAAATTACAGAATCACAGGAGAGTAACGATGCAGAAGAGGCCATTCAGCCCATTATGCCTGATCCAGACTACACCTCTTGACTGATCTAAGCAACAAACATAGATTTTGTTACAGACTCTCACTTTTGAAGAGTCGAGCTGGGTTTAAATACGGTGGAAGTTTGCAGGAACTCAGTTAGAACATAGAACATAGAACATTACAGCGCAGTACAGGCCCTTCGGCCCTCGATGTTGCGCCGACCTGTGAAACCAATCTGAAGCCCATCTAACCTAAACTATTCCATTATCATCCATAGTGACACCGATATTTTTAGTGACCACTTTTAAGCAGTTTTCCCAAAAGGAGAGTAGGAATTATCAGTGAATTATGATAACCTGCAGATACTTTACAACCAAAGATGGCGTCTACCTCAAGAAAATAACGAGACCCTTGCAATATCTTAGGGCTGTGTTGCCTGAAGACTTTTTCATGTATATAAAGCCTGGCTTTGAATTTCTATCTTTCAAGAAACATTGAATTGTTGTATTGTCAGGTGCAAATATGACCTGGTTCTGATGCCATAATTATTTAAATTACAAAGTTTTTTTAGGATGAAGCTCACAAATAGTTTGTAACTACTTTTTCCTTAACTAGTGACATTACTGAACAAAGTAGACTGCATTTGTGATTGAAGAGATCAACAGAAAAGGTGCCCATTCGTTTGCCTAATTTTGACAGCTTGGACTTGTCAGTGACACAGGAATTTGCCACTTGTGCTACCCACAAAGATTCAGCAGGTCTAGAACATAAATCTTCCCTTTTCTGACATCAGTTTCAATTTGATGTATTTTATAGCAGATCATTGTACTCCAGTGAAACAGTAGGCAGCAGGTTAGATTAGCAGCAACAGCAGTCAGATCAAGAAGGTCTCACAGACAAAACCACAGACTATAAAGGCAGGGAATACAAATTACATATAAATATTGTATTGAAAGCAAAAGAAAGATCAAGATGTGCATGAAGTTTAGGGGAGAAATGTGGATATCAGAACGATCATTGTTTTCCTGAAGAACAAATATTTGTTTAACAAAATGTCTGAAATGTTATATGTTCTTCAGAGGGAATGCTATGTAATTGATTTTTGAGGGGCAGAAGTTTGGAGTTAACATGATTTAATGCACCATTAAACGTTCAGCTCGTCCTAAATTGAACAAGGCTAAGCACTTGCGCAATTGTGTTTTACAAAGAATATGATGGGAAAATTTTTGAGTTCAAGTCAAATCGGTGATTTCTAAATGTTCTGTCTGCAAACACTGTAACAGTGCACCCTATGAAGGTGTAGGATGTTAGTGACTGCAGTGTTTGTATTTCCACTTTCAGTTGTGCATGATCGATTGCTCTCAGCTTTACAGAGGAATAATGGTAACACTAAAGGTTTTGCCATTATTAATATCTCAAATTCTGGTTCATTAGCCAATATCAGTTGCATTGGATATTTACTGAAAAGCCTACCATGACTAATTGTTTTTATTTTTCTTTTCTTTTGGTCTGCTAATCCTGCCACAACCTGAAATCTTGTACAGTTCATGGCTCTTCCTTATCTCTGGTTTCCAGCACCTCATCTATATACTCAACGGTAAGCTCCAGCACTTTAACTACTTGGTACATTCCTTCTCCCTACATAGTTAAAATATGATTTTAAAAAAAGAGATTTAGCGGGGGAAAAAAAGTAAAGAAGTCTTTCCTTGTCACAAACTTTCAAATAATTTGATGTTTTCTCTGGTTCTCCTCATAATAGCTTCAAATCTGAAATTCCTGCTTGAAAGATACTGTTTTCACTGTACACACCTTGCTGTTCTATTGGTACCATTTAGAAAATTAAATAGCACTAAGGTATTGTTAGAGACAACTTTAAATTAAATGCAGCATTGTCAGGGGTGGCATTAGAGAGCTCTTTCTTACCCTCTGCATCAAGCAAGATTAACATGTCACAATATTATGTTCCTGGTTGTCACGGAAGGGGTAAGTTTTATTCTGAGCAATGACTCATCACTTTTAAAGCATACTGTTTTGGAAAAAATATTATTCCATCATCAACTCACTCTAACAGGATTTAATTTTGACTTGCGTAATTGATCATTAACATCTTGTGACCACACCCGTGATGTCACTTTAGCTGAGAGTTGTGCAAGCTGTTGTTTATGTTTTGACTCACACTTCAAATGCCTCTGTCCAATAAGACTGCGAGGTGGTTCAGAAATGTGATAGCTTGGCTGGTGTCTTCTGGTTTTGTTCCTCCAAGCAGTTCTTATCACATCAGTGACAACGACTATAGACTCAGCTCCAGTATGATGGCAACAATAGCTCTCACCAGGCCACTTACGCCCAAAGAGTTGATGGTGGGTGATGGTCCTAGTTTTGGTCAGTTATAGTGCTGAAATTGGAGTGTTCAGTCTTGTATTCGAAAGGTGAAGAATTTGTGTAGATCCTTGTACAGGATTTTAGTTTCATTGTGTGGCTTTTATTTGATTAAATGTAGATCAGTGAGATAAAACAAAGAGTTGTGAACGCTGGAGATCTGATACAAAGAGAAACAGAAATTGCTGGAGAAAGTCGGCAGGTTTGGCAGCATCTGTGAAATGAGAAACAGAGTTAACATTTCGAATTTTTTGACCCCTCCTGAAAATGTTCTGAGGAAGGGTCACCGACCTCAAAACATTAACTCAGTTACTCTCTCCAGAGATGCTACCAGACCTAGTAGGAACTGCAGATGCTGGAGAATCTGAGATAAAAAGGTGTAGAGCTGGATGAACACAGCAGGCCATGCAGCATCAGAGGAGCAGGAAGGCTGACGTTTCGGGCCTAGACCCTT